TAATAGGCAGACCTCAGTGTCTGATGTGCTATCAATGGAAAGAAGATGAGTAGAAAAAAGGAGATATTGTGGAAATATAGAAAGGAGAGTGTCTCCCCGGCATAAAGTCGCAATTTGCTCAGTTCACTTCAGCTTTTATCTCGACCATTCGTCAAAATGAACAGCTATAATGAATCTATGCAGAAAGCACAGTCTGAAGCAGAGCCAGTGAGGCCTCATCAATCATTCTTTCATGGAAGATTCTCCATCGAAGAAGGTGGCATCGAACGTGTCACCGACGAAGAGCGACAACAGAATACAACCAAGTTCTGGCATGCTGCTACATTCTGGTAAGACAGATATCCGAATGAATATCGATCACCACTAACGTATCCCTTTTCTATCAACAGGTTCAGTGCAAACATGGCTGTAGCCACCCTCAACATCGGCTCCTTGGGAGGTTCTCTCGGCCTTCCCTTCTGGGACTGCTTCATCGTCATTCTCCTAGTCAACATCACAAGCGATTTACTACCAGCCTGGACATCCGTATTTGGACTAACAGGACTACGCATGACGACGTTCTCGTGAGTAATGTATTCCTATAGGTAGCCCTCTGTAACTGACACCCGAATCCTAGACGATACTCATTCGGCTACTGGGGCAACATGCTCGTCGTCATATTCTCCATGATCGCCACAACAGGTTGGAACGCAATCAACTCTATCTCCGGCGCAGCCGTCCTGCATGCCGTCTCAGATGGCCGGTTTCCCATTTGGGCCGGCGTGATCGTGATCTGTGTGGCTGTCTGGGTCATCTGCGTACTCGGTATCAGCTGGATCCATCGTCTTGACACATTCATCTGGATCCCACCTTTGGTTGTGTGGTGTGTTGCTGCTGGGACGGGTGCTTCACAGCTCACGAGCGAGGACCATGTTCATCTTCAGGGCTCAAACAAAGCTGCTGCTATTCTTACATACATGGCTTTGATATTCTCCTTCTCGGTTTCCTGGGTGAATTGCGCGGCGGATTATAATGTGCGCATGCCCAAGGATACACCGCGCTGGCAGATCTTCAGTGCTACCTATGTGGGTATCTTTGTTCCTACTGTGCTTGTTCAGACTCTTGGTGCGGCCTTGTATACAGGCACTATAACCAATACAGCGTGGAAAGAGGCGTATACGGCTTCTTCGATTGGGGGGTTGCTCAAGATGGCACTGGAGCCGGCAGGGGGATTTGGGAAGTTCTTGATGGTGCTTGCGGCATTGAGCTCAATTCCAGTGAGTTAATGGATCCAGTTGGTGTTCAGATTTGAATGCTAATTTTTGGAAAAGAATAACATCCCCAACAACTACTCCTTTGCACTACATGCACAGAATCTAGGGCCGTGGGCTATGCGCATTCCCCGTGTGATTATGGTCACTCTTGGATTCATCGCAGCGATAGTCGTTGGTTGTTGTGCAGCCAGGTATTTCTCGGATACTCTGCAGACATTGCTTAGTGTGATTGGGTACTGGACTGTGATCCACATCACTCTGGTGATGGAAGAGCATTTCATTTTCCGGCGTGGATGGAATGGATGGAATGGATATGATTTCGATGCTTGGAACAGCATTGCTGATTTGCCATTCGGATGGGCCGCCATCGGGGCTTTCGGATTCGGGTTCCTCGGTGCTGCTCTTGGCATGAAAACCGCATGGTATTCGGGTCCTATTGCTTCTTTGATTGGCAAGAAAGGTGCAAATATAGGCCACGAGTTGACCTTTGCATTCTCTGGGGCTGTATTCCCTCTGTTCCGGTGGATTGAAAGGCATTATGGGGGTCGGTGAAGAGCTGTCGCTATGTTACCGCATTATATCGTTTCTAACTCGCATATTAAACCGCTTGATATCTCAGTCAGGTCTCCCTGGAATAGATGGGCTTTCCGGAAAGAGACCCATATTGGACAAAAGATCCCAATCCCCATTAGCTGAAATCCCCAATCCAAGAAACTCGGGGAAATAATAATTGTTAAGTTCGCCAAGTAGCTCGTCTGGTTGCAGATTTGCTGGTGGTAGCTCGACATGCGGTCGGAGTTTTTGTTGCACTTTCGTGATGATATTTCCTAAAGTATGCGCCGCATGGCATGGTAACCCAATGCAGTACATCCACTGCACTAAGTCACGTATGAGTAATTCGAGTTCCTCGATGTTGTGAGTCGAGGCAACCTGTTCTTGGTAGGCATTCAGTAGGCGGCAAATGACAATCGCCGCAAAGGTGATCATGTGGTATATGTGGTCGGTTAAATGGCGCGTGCGCTCATCTACTGTATCCATGGCCAGTTGCACGATTGCCGTGGAATGGCGAATCATTTCTGACACAACTGGTTCTCGGCCTCGGGAAGACTTGGATTTGAGAGCATGTTCATATAGAAGCAGATGAGAGAAGTGAAAGCCCATTGAGAGAAACTGAGACCTTGGTTGCTCTGATCGCAAAACCTATTAGCGAAAACGTGGAAATATAAGTCAAATTAACATACCAAGGACAAATTCCCATTTTCGTCGCCAGTCCTGCAAAGCTGCCAGTGATTTCAGTAAATCAACCGACTCTTGAATGAGATGTTCATATACAGTCCAGTAAAGATAAATCTCGGCCACCATGCGCACTTCAAAATTTGTCGCATGATCCGAAACAATGATGGCACGACATCGCTCGATTTGCCAGGGTTGTAGCATGGATCGACGGCTGGTTCCGACACAATAATGCATATGAGCAAGACAGAGATGATTCCACAGATAGCAATTAGCCATAGTTTCCTCATCCAATATGTTTGGGGGATGAGACTGAGTCGTGGCAGCAGTAAACAGCGGGCTCGAATGGGAGTGCTGTAAAGCGAACCCGCTCAAAAGCCAGCTATCGATACTCAAAGGCACCTGTCCGACCGTTGTCGACCACAAAGATAAGATTAGGGTGGCCTGAAAGAACTCTATAGGCTGTGGGGAAACTAGAAGGGTGGTGGAAGCAAGAGAGCGAACATATTCATACAACTTCGGAGCTAAGCTTGCAGCCAATTCCTCGGAAGTGTGCCGCACGGCGATCAGAGAACAAGCGCTGAATAGCAAGCTCGATTTTTTCACTCGGCGGAGAAGCTCGCTTGGCTCGCACTGCGGATCAAAGAGAACCCATCGACCGTAATGATCGAGGAAACTAATAAAAGGTTAGTGACAATTCGCCATGATGAAGCAATTCATGCAGCATACATTGTTATGAGCGTAAGTGCAAGATCATGCGAAATAAGGTCGTCTAATACAGCCCCGAGGGATCTGGCATCGGACATTGGTTTGATGCCGCTGTCCGTTGCTAGATCGCGGATGACCATGATCGGAGCCGCGGAGGATTCCGCGTCCTTGTACGCACCGCCAGGTCCCGGGCTCGTCCGCGCGGGGGTAGGTCTACTCGACTCATGACCTGGAGTTCCTGCTGGGCCTTCTCCAAGCCGATCGAGCAGAGTAGCCACGGTCTTTTCAAGACGTTCCAAACTATAGAAACCTGTCAGTTTGAGACTAAACATGAGCTGCGGAATTAATACCGAGCATCTGTGTCTGGTGCGGGGGCTACGGTTTCCTCTTCAGAAGCAATAATTTGGACGAGCGAGCAACTCTGGTGAAGTCGGTCGCATCGCATACATGCCCGTCCAGGAATTCCGGGCTCGTAGCATCTGGTCTTTTGTTTTCTGCATGAGGTGCATGCTTTAGAGGCACGACCCCGATCCGGCGGCATTTCGACCTCACAGGCAGAGACTGATTCTCAAAAAAAAACAGGAATTCCAGCATATAATGATTCGAAGTTGAAGTCTATGTAGACAAGGAACTACAACTGAGACGTAAAGGGAAGGTCACCTGATACAGTTCTACCGCATCAGTTTCTGCGGCTCCACACCGCCCACCATCTTCAAAAATCAAACATTGCTGCTCGAGGGTGGTATACAAATATTAGAATTTACATTCAGATATGTTAGCTGGCCATATGTGAAGACTCTGCAAGATTAAAACGGCAATATAGGTTTTACTCCACTGTGACCATAAGATTGGATTCTCACAAACTTCACTGAACCATTGGCGACTTCTTCTCTGAGCCTGTGGAACCGGATTGCACACAGAAGCATCCCAAACGAAGATCGCCGAAGCCACAGGATCACGTGCTTTGTACGACTTTCTTGAAGCTGTGGGAGAGTCAGGTGGCACTATGCCTGATTTCTATTCGCTAGTCAAAAAATACCGCGATTCCATTCGTCTGAACCCACCAAAGATCGCAACAAAGGTTGCACATGCCACCTTCCAGGGTAATGACCAAAGCGGTAAAAACCAGCAGAAAGATCAGACGAAACCAACACGTGATCAGAGACCGTATGAAACAGAAAATCTGGTTGAACCAAGATGCCTATGTCGTACATTGAAAAGATCTCACGCAGCCAGTGCTTGTTGATGTCCACGTGACGTAGTTTCGTCTGATATGATGAATCTGACTTTGTCATTAGATCAATGGTCTGTTTGTTGTCACATGACAGTATCAGATCGTGTTGGGCGTCAAACTCAATCGAATAAGATCGAAGAATGGGCATATGTGCTCTAAAATAAATAAAAGCCATTGTTTCTCGAGCTTTCATGGTCATCCAAGCTGATGCCGTTCGTATCACGTGATCGGTGTTGATTCAACCGAAGCCGGGCGACGACTACACCGTAGACGACCTCCTCTTTGGGTGAGGAAATGATTTCTTGATAGGAGAAAAGCACTGCGGCCGAGACTTTTCAAGTCATTCATGCCAACAGTCAGCATGCAGAAATATCTCATTAGACCCAATCGTAGAATCGCTATTCTGGGACGCGACTAATTGTTAGTCGTTGGGTGTTCGAGGTCACGTGATCTCTCCGTACGCTCCTTCCTGAGCCGCGCTCAGGCTGCTAGCTCATTCAACCCAAACGCGATTGAAGGAACTGTTTAATAGTGCTCGGTATCCCAAATCCTGTTTCTAGCACGGGTAGATATCAATTTATGTCTGCGATCCCCGGATACCGGACATAATACGCCTGCCAGTCATCAATCTCAGTCATCTTGTGGCCCGGAAGCTGCACAATACGCCAGCGTATGTTCATCCAGCCCACGTCATCCTCAGTACACCCTTCAAGGGGCTCAAACTCCTCAGGCTCTGATATATCCTCGTCCTCAGAGACCTCTTCAGGCGCATCTGTCCATTTCCATTCAGCATTAACCATGCGGACATGCCCTAATTTATATTCTTCGAACCCTCCTAAGGGGGTGTTTAGAACGGACTCCATAGCCTCCTGGTCCACAGTGATGAAGAAGCGGTATCGGCCGCTCGTTGGAGTGTAGTCTTCGCTCACGCCCTGTTCCTCTTTCAATGCAGTCTTCTTCCACGGATGGAAGTGCTCGCGTAGGGTGGCAACCGTAGCACCCTCAAAGGAGGGGTCTTCTAAGACCGTTGGGGCGAATGTGTCGAGGAGAGCAAGGCCACTGTATTCCTTAAGGTCTTCTGAGACGGCGCCGACCATGCGAGCCATGAAATTCTCTCAGTCAGAGTCGTTGTGGTACGTACAACGAAAGATCACGAAGCCCCAGGTTGTGAATCCATCCTCCTTAAGAAGTTCCTCGACCAGATCAGCCCCATTCATAAAGGAATACATTGTGGGATCGCGCTTTGAGCGAGAGGCCATTGTGGTGGATGTTGAGAGAGTCCTGATTGTGTTGAATTGTGATGTAGATAAGGACTTTGCGAGACATGAGGGATGTTCGAAGGGAAAGCGAAAGAAGGTCGGGCGTATAACGCTTGGGCCGGCGAATTGGCTGTAGATCGGTAGATGGCGTGTAGTTTGAAGTATCCTCCTAGTAGCCATGAGTGCGAAGGCAGGCCTTGGTTCTGTTGAGATAACGATAAGTAGGGGAAAGAGGTGGGGGGCTAGGGGGTATGGTCCAGGGGCAAGCAGGAGCTCTCAAGTTTACAGAGATTTAAAGTGGAGATGCGAGTATTCCCTCAAACGCTTTAAATTGCTCAAATCTCGGGTTCCCAGGATGATGAAACACTACGCCCGTCTGGGCTAGGGGAGAAGTGAGAAGTGGAGGAGGAGAAGTGATCGGAGCCTCGGAGGGCTACGTCTTCCGAGAGTGCATATAAGAAATATTTGCCAATTAACTATATCATAAAGTGTTTTGTTTGTCTTGATTCCGTATAACGTTCCTAAAAGTCCATGCGCAATGCTATACTAGGCACAGCCTGGGGAGCATTCTCTGCCGTCTCAGCACCAGTCTTCGAAGCAACAGCTCCGACTCCGGCACTTCGAAGAACCTCCTCTAGCAGTGACTTCTGGTCTGTGTTCATGGTAGCCACCAACGTCCGGAAAGTGAGCTGGTCGGCCTTCGCAAGCTCAAGGAGATGGCTCGCGGATTCTTGGTGTACGGACTCGCCTTCACGCTTGGCGCGTGCCAAAAGTGCCGACATGATTAGGGATGTAGCGGCGGGCAGTTCGGAAGTGGAGAAAGTGGCATTGGAGATACACGACACGAGCGTGCGAGCAACTACTGTGCGGGAGTTTTCGGGGTCCGTAGGCATATCACCGTTGTCTAGAGGGCAGGCAACCATGAAGGCAATCAGTCGCGGGACGAGGTATCGGCTGATCACTTCGTCGGTAATGGAACGAGAGCCTGGTTTAACGAGAATTGAACGGATGCAGCTAGCTGCCACGGTGGCAAGGCCAACGTCTTGAAGACAGTCAAGCAACTCATCTAGAACTCGGATCAAGACTGGTTCCTGGGGAGGGATGACGTGTGCCCCGGCACTCAGCAGGAAAGTGATGGCGAGAAGCGTGTTCTTGGCGCAGGGGATAGAGATATCCGATTCTCGTCGCTGAGCGATAGTGAGAATGGTCAGGAAGCGCGTGAGACATCCCCGCAGCTGGAATGACACGACCTCAAGGTCTTCGGGTGATTCTGTTGTGTGGGTAATGCCGTGAACGAATTGCCTGAAGATGGGAAGAGCTTGGGGAACTACGCCCTCTTGGCAAACTCCAGTTGCGAGGATAGTTGTGAAAATATGCAGGATACAAGCGTGGAGATCGTTGCGAATGATGGATGGGAATACGGATGCAACATCGACAAGAGAGCGAAGTGCTAAACGAATAAGAGTCAGAGACTCATCCGAACTGACGTTGAACCGCGCGAGCGGTGTCGATTCCCGGAGATTGGGAAGCATTCCAGCGAGAACTAGAATGATGCTTCTTGTGAGCTCGAAGAGTTGCTCGATGTCATCGGAAAGATGGTCGCTGCGTTCCAGATCACCCTTTGCTGCGGGGTGGTCTAGTGACAGGTTTTGGGCAATCTCGACAATGACAGTCTGGATGGGGGTAGCTTCTGTCAACACAAGACGGCCAAAGCTGTCCATGGTCTCTGTGAAAATTGCATCTTGGTAGATGGCGTTTCCAGAGATGACCGGCCTCAGGATTCGCTTCAGCGCCTGAAGAATCTCCAATCGTTGCGATGCCGAAGTTCCCTGATCAACCAAAGATTCGAAAGCCAGTCCGAACAAAACAAAGAAGAATGCGACCGGCTCTTCACGATAATTAATATCATGTCCTTTCCCTTCTTCCTTCTCGGGAGCTTTTTCTTTTTCCTCCTCGCCCTCGACGCCGCTAGGCTCCTCGGGTAGCTGTAATTTGCCATCCAAAGCATCGAAAACAAAGTCGATATCTTTCTCGACGAGCCCAGCAATCGCATCAACCAAGTATAGCCACGTGTCTTGGTAGAACTGATAATATTATTAGCTTTCGCCGAATTGCAACAACTAGATCGGGGCTTACCTTCAACAAAGTTTCGCGGTTCAACGCCGCATACACCTCATCCAGGTCACCGCTCGACGTTGTCCCCAAGCTACCAGAAATGTCTGGCTCAAAGCGCAATCGAGCATATTCTTGAAGAGAAGAAAGCCATAAAGGCGTGAGTTTCGCAATATAAGGTTGAACCACCTGGGTCAAGTACTCATGGTCGATGCTTGCGATCTGGAGCCGGGCCCAGGCCGAGAACAAAGCGAGCTTTACCATAACTCGAGCATTTGAGTTTAGACCCTTAAGATCACCGATTTCAGTAGTTTCTGGATTCTTCGCGAAGTTCTCCAGGCCCAGCACCAAGAGCCTCAAGATTCTCCCCATGCGGTCGACATTTGTTACGATTCCTGTAGCAATGAAAGTTGCAGACACATTAATAGCCTCCGAGGCCAGCTCTGCGGAGGAATCGGCAGCAAAGGCAGGAGTAAGTGCAGACCCAATCTGAGCTTGATATTGTTCGAGAAGCGAGGCTTCAGCAAAGTCAGGATCCGGTGTCTTGCCGAACATCTTAAGAACCTGGTCTATGATCTTTAATCCCCATACGCGCAGCTCAATGACATTGGCGGTAGACGCCGAAAAGGCCATTCTCACAATATCTCCGACGTTTTTCTGGAGAGCCAACTCCGCTGGGATGGCAGAGTCTGGAAGAATTGCCTCCTGGACAGTAGCCAGAAGTTCGGAGAGACAGCTCATGGCAAAATTGCGGGTCTGCCACTTCAATAATTCTTGGCCGGAGATGCCTCCGTTCGCAGCATCACCTTGCCCTTCCCCAGCAGCCGATGCAAACCCGGCAACCTCGTCATCGGGGTTATCGGCAGCTGTAGTTTGAACAGCTGTGATAGGCGTAAGTTCTGCCTTATGGCGTGTCTTGGTCATGATGTTCTGACAACGTTGGATCCACATCTCGGTTTCTGTCAAAGCCGTCTGCTGAAGCCAGTCCTGGATCATTGACTTCAGTGACTTGTTGTTCGGCGATTCATCAAATGCAAGCCAAATGTCATCTTCCAAAGACTGGCCCGCCGTCTGTATCACAGATGGTGCGTCTCGTTTCATGAGGTTGTTAAGTCCACGAACTGCCACATCTCGCGTGAGGGTGTTGCCTGCTCGAAGCTCGGTTTGCAGTCGCTTCACGTATGCCGCAATGTCGACATAACTGGAGGCATACATTGAGAAGTGGTCCAAACATCTGGAACTTTCCGTCACCAATGCTGAGTTTTCCTCCAACTGGAATTGGCGAAGCAGGGTTAAAATGAGATTTCGGGTCTTCGCAATGTCTTGCAGGTCCGGCCCAAGAACATTGATGAGAGAGTCCACGCATCGGCTAATCACGACCGGTGTCAAAAATGACATTTCGATGTTGGAGGTCGCTAACGCAGCTGCCTCCTCGTTGTGGGTATCAGCGTTGTAAAGTTGAGCAAGCATCCCCAAAGAGCCGGACACAAAAGGCGAGAATGTCAAACCAGCGGAGTTAGCAACTCTTTCCAAGCCCCCAAGAGCCCAGAAATGGACAACAGGGTGAGGATCATTACACAAAGACATTAAAACACCAACAATCGTTTTGAGGTGCAAACCAGCTGCCATTCCGCCAATCTGGGCGTGGATACATCCTAAGGCGGCAGCACAGCCAGCTCTTGCGTTAGGTTCTCTGTTCTCGACAATGGTATCAACAAGCCAATTAACTTGTGTATTGGTGCACGCATTTCCAGCACTATCACAAAGCCGTCCAAGTGCTTCAACGCCAATTGTGCGAACAACAGGATCAGCATCTATGACAAACCTTTGGAGAAGCTCTTGCAAGATTTTATCAGTAGATGGATTCAGCTTGCCAGGCACGAAGTCTGTCTCCTTAACAGCAACTTTCAGAGTATGTAAAAGGGCGACCGAGATGTTGACGACCAATGCGGCTTTCCTGCCGGGGTTTCTTTGCAGGCCAGGAGAAGTGAGGAATGTAGCGATCTGTTCGACACTGCTTTCCTGGATTTTGGACGAATGAAGAGCGAGAGCCACAGAAAACAAATCGATTGCCGAGTTGACAACTCCTGTTGTCGGGGGATCAACAGCAAGCTTATCTCCATCTCGCAAACTGTACAGAAGAACCGCGTCGTGTTCGCTTGCTTGACAAATAGGGAAAGTTAAGGTGTCGTCCACAACTTGGTCCACAGAGTCAAGTGCACACCAAGCGGGACTCTTGTCGTCTTCCTGAGTGCCAGACAGTGTAGCACGAATATATTCTCGGCAGAGTCCAGTGACACCAAATCCATAATTATCACATAGATCCCATAAACCATCGAATTGTCCGGCGGAGCCAGAAATAGAGCTTTCTAGTTGCTTGTACTGAGCATCTGGGTCTGCGAATGAAGAAATAGCCAGGCTAAGAAGACTGGATTGAGAAATAATATCCCCATGGCTAGGTGGATGGACATGCACAAGCTTCGTAAAACACTGCAAGACACGTCGGCGGACCATAGTTGAATAATCTTGCAATTGCAGGGATGGGTGCAGTCTTTGTGAAAGATCTTCCATAGCCTTTGGCTTAGGCAAGTTGTCTAAAAATTCGACCGTATGTTGCAACATCGCACCAATTCTCTTTGCACCATCTGATGTGATCAATTTGCTGTTGAACTCCATGAACACCAACAACGAGCCTAGTGCACACTCTCGCACATGAGTCAGGAAACTGGTCTCAACTGTACCTGGCTGGGCAGCGTTCTCCTTGCCAAGGTGCTTGGGCAGAGCGTTCTTCCAGAGAAGCATCAATTGAGACAGATGAGTTTTGACGAAGCTTGGTCCGAGAGGCATCAAACCTCCAATCAGAATCCACGCTACCTGAATTTGGATGC